CCATCCTGCAAGTGGCCCCTCACTTCGGTGTCCCTTCTGGGTCCCTGCTACCTCCATATGAACTTATCTTCCAATCCATCAACAGTGTTTATTAACTAACACTTAGTGCAAACAGTCCATAAGCAAAAGTCCCCAAACATAGTCCATATCCCCCGGGACTTGTACTCTTTAAAACCAGCTTCAATCTTACCATCCCGGCATCTTTCGCCACCCCCCAGCCCTTCCTTCTGGGGCACAACCCTGCTCTTACCAGCAGGAGCTCGCACAGCCTCTCCGCTGGGAGCCTGTCATGGTTCCTCTAGAGTCCAGCTCTCTGGCAAAGGGAAGTCAGCAGGGAACCCCCTCTGCTCTGACTCTACGGCTTAGAGCCAGCAGGCATCTCCCTCGGCCGCTGCTCCTCCTGCCTTCAGCCCTCTGGCCCTGGCTCGGGGATGCCAGCCAGCAAATCCCTCTTACTGCTCCCCTGCTTTCAGACCTCCCCAGGAACCCCCTTCTCTCTGTAGGAGCTGACATTGCCTGACTGACTCAGTTTGCTCTAACACTCTGTCTCACCAGGCCTCAGATAGCCCCCCAGGCACTGCCCCACCCTCTTAATTGGCTCAGCACCTGGATGGGGAAAGGAGAGCTGAGCCCAATTTCATTTAAGGGGCCAGCTACCCTGTTACAGTAAGTATGGTTACACCTGCTCTCTGACAGATGAAAAAACTTAAGCAAACAAAGGTTAAAGGTCTAACGTTTAAGGTGCTTCTGTAACCGACACGTCGCTTGGGTGTGGTGCTCTGTCCCGTCTGGTGGCACCGAGACCACTTAGAGAGAGATTAATGAGTCTGCTACAGCCTTAGCAAAGGGCCACGTGGCTTTTATGCGGTAGAGGCTCATGCACTAATCTTCAGAGGTCCCAGGTTTGATCTCGCCTGTCGACGATAGGGGTCTCGGTGTTACAAGTGGGGGCTCAGCCCGGATTTCAACTGGAAAGTCTCTGAAGTTTGGGATGCGCTTCCTCAGCTACGGGAAGTATGTAACCCACATACCGCTTGGGTTTGGTGCTCTGTCCCATCTAGTGCCATCGAGACCACTTAGAGATTAATGAGTCTGCTACAGCCTTCCCTAAGGGCCCTGTGGCTTTTAGCTCCAGAGGTCCCAGGTTCAATCCTGCCCACCAATGACTGGGGTCTGTCGGTGTTACACTTCACTTCCATTCAGGGCCGGCTCCAGGCACCAGCCGACCAAGCACGTGCTTCGGGCGGCACCTTGAGGCAGGGCGGCGCTCCATTATTTATTTATTTATTTAGTTGGATTCGGCGGCACGGCGCTCGGAGGGGGGGTGGGGCTTCGGGCGGCGGGGCTTCGGGCGGCGTCGCGTTTGGAGGGGGGGCGGGGCTTTGGACGGCACAGTGCTCGGAGAGGGGGCGGGGGCTTTGGGCGGTGCTTGGGGGGGGCAGGGCTTCGGGCGGCGCGGTGCTCGGAGGGGGGCGGGGGCTTCGGGCGGCGTGGCGTTTGGAGGGAGGGCGGGGCTTTGGGCGGCACAGTGCTCAGAGGGGGGCGGGGCTTCGGGCGGTGCTCAGGGGGAGGGGGGCTTCGGGTGGCGTGGTGCTGGGGGGGCGGGGATTTCAGCGGCACTCGCGGGGGGGGGAGGTATGGCAGGGCGGCGCGCTTCTTTTTTGCGGCAAAAAAGTTAGAGCCGGCCCTGCTTCCATTGAAATCAAGGGGAGTTAGGCCTTTAAAGGAACAAGTAGAGCTCCACACTCCTAGGTCTGTAGTCATTAGACCACACACAGAATAATTTAGTGCAGCCAAGTCCCTCCTGAACTTCTGAAATATATCTGGTGTGGAAGGGTGGAGGAGAGTTGAGACAGAACTTTTTGGTTCTAAGCTATGTCTTTTAAAAAAAATATCTAAGGGGCTTCCAAAATATTTTCAATTTTTTTCTGGACTTCCCAACTTCTTTTCATCTAGAATTCTGGTTTGTGGTTTGTGTTTTCGGAGCAGGTTTCAGACTGCTGGACAACAATGCCAGGAAATAGAGGAAGAAGAAATATTTGGTTGTTCCTAGGTCATCGTGTTGCACAGTTAATCTCCATCTGTTTAAATGTTGTTCATGGCAACCTGACTGAGAAAAATTCCTGCTGATTAAAAGAGAACACCTCCAGGGAACATTGCTCAATGCCCTGGGAAAGCTTTGGTAATTAATAATTGGCCTGAATCATATGGGCTTTCACCGTACGAGTTACAATGGTGCCACTTAAACACTGAGCACACACAGCGAGCTTTAAACTGCACGTTCCTTCAGGTAATCCATCTACAGCTTAGCCATGAAATTTTCCTAATAGTGAAAATATCCAGTTTCATCTTGAAAAAATGATAAAAGCTGAATTCCAAACTTTCTGGTGAAAACTCAAACTGCCTGCTCACTTTCTCGTACTGATCCAGGTATCCAATCCCCTTCTCCCTGTCTGGTCTTTCAGAGTTAATTGACCCATTGCCTTGTATTGCCTGCACTATTGTTCTTCACTTCCCATTTATAGACAGGATCATACAGTGACATTTCAAAGACTACCTTAAAGAATATGAAAATATTTGGCATTTCTGCAAACTCCAATACTCAGATATTTAATTACACAGAGTCAATCACCTGACTAATTCAGACAGGAACTCAAATCTCACAATGTAATTACTTTAAGTTCGGATGGATAACTCAGGAAACCATAGGTAGTCTGACATGCAAAAAGCATTCAAGAAATAATACCAAGAGTTGATGGCACCCCTTTTCAATGATGCCCAGAGCTTTATATGGGTGCATTTAAATACATATTACATCCCAAAAGCTACATTAAAAGAACATTAAGGTTGCAAAGCCAAGCACCCAAAAGCTAGGAAATGTCAGAATTTAACTTGCCTGCGCAAACTTAAATTTGTAGTCTCTGTGAGTGTTCATTATAATACAGTTTTTAATTACATGATCACATACTATTTTTTCCTTGGCCCTGCAGCACTGACCTGGAGCCATAGGCGCCGACTACGTGGGTGCTCCGGGGCTGGAGCACCCATGGGGAAAAATTAGTGGGGGCTCTGCACCCACTGGCAGCCAAGCTCCCCCCCGCCCCAACTCACCCACTCCTCCACCTCCTCCCCTGAGTACGCCACATCCCTGCTCCTCCGCCTACCTCCCAGCACTTGCCGCCACCAAACAGCTGTTTGGCAGTGTAGCAAGCTCGTGGGGGGGGGGGGGGGGAGGAGTGGGAACGTTGCATGCTCAGGGGAGGAGGTGGGGCCAGGGCGGGATTTGGGGAAGGAGTCAGAATAGGGGCAGGGAGGGGGCAGAGTTGGGGCGGGGACTTTGGGGAAGGGGTTGGAATGGGGCAGGTCAGGGGCAGGAGGGGGCAGGTCAGGGTGGAGTCGGGGTGGGGCCGAGGGCAGAGCGGGGTTGATCACCCACTGGCATGAGCAGAAGTCAGCGCCTATACCTGGAGCAATATACAGTAAAAGCTTTTTTAACCGGCATGCTGGGAGAACGGGGGTTGCCGGTACATTTAAAATGCCAGTTAACTCAGAGGGAGGAGTTTGGAGTGCAGGGCAGGGGCATGGGAGGGGTTGCAGGGCACAGGCTCTGGGAGGGAGTTTGGGTCTGAGAGGGGGTTTGGGGTGTGGAAGAGGTCTCGGGGTGCTGGATGGGGGCGCTCACTTCCAGCGGCTCCCCATCGCTGCTGCTCCCGGCGGAGGAAATCACAGGGTTGACCTATGTAAAATATTTCCATCCCCCTTAATGATCTGAAACCTGTTTCATAAAGTCTGAATTGAATCTATCTAGGTTTTTATAGTGCAGCCACCACCATCCTTTGTGGGACAAAACAGAAGAAAACTCTGTCAAGACTATATGGCCAGGTCCTTAGCTGGTATAACACAGCCTCGCTCCATGGACTTCGACAGAGACATGGTGATTTACACCAGTTGAGGATATGGCCTGATGGTGTTTTCCTTTCCACCCTTCGATTATAAGGTCTGATTGTATGAGAAAAACAAGACATTCTTTTAAATCATTATTTATTTAACTGGAGTGAGGTGTTGCCAGGCCATTGTGTTCCTGTTGCTGTGGGAAGAGACGTTTCTTCCCCTCTGATCTGAAAGAGGTGAGATCTGGGCTCATTCATTTCTGGTGGGATTGCATTCCATAGGCAAGGTCTCACTGCTGATAAAGCCCTGTCCTCCCTGCCATAAACATTCCCAGTGTTTGCAGCTGTCGTCTAAGATGCCAATACAGCTGACGTGCAGTTGCTTATAGGATGTTGTTTGTAAGATATTTTCATATCATTTGTTGCATTCCTTCTATAACTTCAGATTTGTTTTAGCAACTAGGCTTTAGCGCCCAGGATGTGGTTATCAATATCTTTGTACGAAATGGTGAGAAACACAAAAGTTATCTGCAACCAAACCTCAAAGGCCTTACTGGCTACGAATTCGGTCATGTCTCGGCTGGTGACAGAAGCCTCAATTGGCCTGCACTAAATGAAGGGAAATTGGGGGAAGAATGTAAAGGAAGAGTGAAAACAGGGAAGAAGGGAAGGATGGCATATTTCTTTGGGTCATTGAGTTCAACTAGCACAAGCTCAAGCACTAAAGTATGTCTCGCTTGCACCCTATTTCTTTTTTCTTTATACATGATGCTGGGGAATGGTCTTCAGACCTGCTGCTCCTTCCACTAAAGTCGAGACTCAAAACTTCCAGAAAATGTAGCTTTTCCTCCCTTCTCCCCCATTTATTTCAGAACCAGCTGCTTCGGCAGCAGTATTTCACGCTGTTCCCTTTCACGCTGTTGCTGGTGTCCTCAAAGCTGTCTTCAGACCCCAATTAAATAAAGCTCCCTTGTATTTTGCACACCCAGAGCTCCCCCACGAACGGATACCTCCGTCTGCATGAGCTGCTGCCTTGCACTGGTATTTTGCTGGGGTATATTGAGAGCCAGTGGAACTGAGAACCCTGTAGACCTCGTTAGCTGCTCTTACCTGTCCTGCGAAAAGGCCACACACCCCGATTATACAGAGAATGTTGAATACGGCAGAGCCAACAATGGTTCCGACTCCTACGTCTCCTTTTGTGATAAAAACACCTGAAAAACAAGTTCAAGGCAAACGGAGTAAATCGAAAAGAACAGGGATCCTACTCCAAAAAACTGCACCCCTTTGCTGTATACGGTAGAACTTCAGAGTTCCGAACACCTCGGGAATGGAGGTTGTTCGTAACTCTGAAATGTTCATAACTCTGAACAAACGTTATGGTGATTCTTTCAAAAGTTTACAACAACTGAATAATGACTTAATACAGCTTTGAAACTTTACTATGCAGAAGAAAAATGCTGCTTTTAACCATCTTAATTTAAATGAAACAAGCACAGGAACAGTTTCCTTACCTTGTCAAATCTTTTTTTTAAACTTTCCCATTATTTTTGTAATACACCTCTACCCCGATATAACGCGAACCAATATAACATGAATTCGGATATAACGCAGTAAAGCAGCACTCTGGAGGGGCAGGGCTGTGCACTCTGGTGGATCAAAGCAAGTTCGATATAACGCGGTTTAACTTATAACGCAGTAAGATTTTTTGGCTCCCGAGGACAGCGTTATATCGGGGTAGAGGTGTAGTTTACATTTCACACAGTACTGTACTGTCTTTGCGGGGGTTTTTTTGGTCTCTGTTGCTGCCTGATTGCGTATTTCCAGTTCCAAATGAGGCGTGCGGTTGACCGGTCAGTATGTAACTCTGGTGTTCGTAACTCTGAGGTTCTACTGTACCCAGATCTTGGTCATTTGCCTGATTATGCCACTTTGACTCAAATTTAATAGGACAACTTGTGGAGGAAAGTAAAAGGGTGAATAAGGAGGCAGAATCTGTCTCTTTGATAGGATTAGTGAGAATGTTATCAAAAGTGCTACAGTAATGGGTACTATAGAAATAAATGTCAGAGAATAAAAAATAACCCCCCAACGGCACCTGCTAGCTACAAGTCTGTTGAAATTCAGCTGTTGCTAGCAGGGGTCTGGAAGAGTTTCCCTGACCACTGTGGCCTGGGATTTTTTCCCCTCAGAACCATGCTACACAAGGGGCTCATTCTACCAAACCGGGGACTTTGTTATAACAAAGTAGTGACCTGACCATGTTGGAATGTGGTCCCACCTGTACAGCCAAATCATGTTGAAACCAGCTTACAATGCTGACCTTTTTACTATAACACGGTCCCCGTTTTGGTCAATTTTAGGTTTATAGATTTTAAGTCCAGAAGGGATCGCTGTGATCATGTAGTCTGACCTCCTGTTCAATGCAGGCCATAGAACTTCCCTAAATGAATTCCAGTTTCAAGTCCAATAGCTGTGGTTGAATGAGAGCAGATCTTTTAGAAAAACATCCAATCTTGATTAAAATATTTCCAATGATGGAGAATCTGCCACAACCCTTGGTAAGTTGTGCCAGTGGTTAATTACTCTCTTGCTGCACAGATGGGTATAAATAGAGCTATGCACTTCCCTCAACCCAGGTAGTTTATAGCATGATTCTCAGACCAAAATCCATGCCCCCACTGGTCAAAGGAACCACTGCTAGGACTGTGCTAACAACAACAGTGGTGAAACGTGGTTGAAACTAGCAGGCTCTGCTGATTCTGAACCAATTGTGTAGAAGAAAGAAGCCCCTCACTCTTGAGCATTGCTGCAATAGGATAGCCCCCTATTCTGCCCCCCATGAGCTGAGTGCTGCTGTGAGGGAGCCCCTCCATTCCTCTGTTCAATATTGTGCTCATCAAGGTAGTATCTGAGTACCTTCCTGCAGTGCCTTAAGCAATATGGCTACGCATCCTTCTCTTCTAAACTTAGCCTTCTGGTGGGATGAAGGACAATTTTTTAAAGCTTTCAACTAATCTCTCCCTATGAAGGTTTTGAATCCACAACTTCACAAGCCAGCAGCCTCCACCAGCCCTCACGGCATGCCCTTGTATGCGTCACAGAGAGGGCCGGGAATTTCTCACCACGTTCTTGGAAGAGGAGGAGGGGCTGGTTGGACATGCGAGAGAACTGCTTGCATAGATCTCCAGTGCACACAGCTATACCCCTGGGCTCCAGCCTCTCATCCAAAACAAGATCCAACATAAAAAACCCCTGATCGGCACTAAAATTTCCATCCACACTGTAATCGAGCTATGTAGGCCCTCAACACAGCTAAAAACATGGTTCTGTCTTGCAGTGTAGATGGGACTGGCCCATTCTCAAACTGTGCTTAGTCATCTGTAATGGATGCAAAGCATGGCCATTGTGTGTGTAGGTACACTTTAGTGGCGTGTTAATCTATTCACGGTGCACAGAGCCTGGATTATGCTCGGTGACGCACATTGTACATAAAAACAGAAATTCAGGAGTTTGCTCTTTTATCCACACCGGGAGATTTATACATATAGCTCCTAGACTTAATAAGGATTTATCACAATTAATCTTCCATGCGTCCATGAGAGAACAGGTTAAGACTTATTACAACTCTTAATGTCATTTGGCAATTCCAGCTGTACTTAATGCCTTTAAAAACTGTTTAAAGAAGAAATGGCTGGTTAGTTAGTTACCTATAACAGATGTAAACAACTCAGGAGCGGAGCTTCCAGCTGCCATGAAAGTTGCCCCAGCCACGTCTTCACTAAGATGCAGACGCTGCAGAGAAACAAAATGAAGTCCATGATTATAACACTGTCACGTGAGAAGAAATTCAACTGAAAAAGTGAAGTTGTCTGTCTGAGCAGGAAATTGCTTATATGCTTAAATGGAAAGAAGGGACGAACCAACAGGACAGAGAGGCATTAGTTACCGGGGGAAATATTGCATTCTCAGTCTAAAAAAGCAAGATGGTTGTGCCTTCTGATTTCAATTTACAGAGGGCTAGATTGTTCCTTTGGGCACTGCCCTGTGCAGGGCAAGGTATATTAGCTGCTCCACCCCAGGAGGCATGATGAAACCCCTCTGAGTCATGATTCCTTTCCTGTCTCCATGCACACGCTGTCTGACCTACTCTGGCCAGTACATGGTGGGGGCTGGGGGATGGAGCCAAGTTCTTGCCCATGTGCTCTGGGGAGTATGTAAGGGTGTGAGTACCCCAGACGGAAGGTGCTAACTTCGCTGTATGGGATTTACCCAGCACAGCTAACATAATCTCCACTGATAATCAAGGACTGGCATTCTCTTAAAATACCCATACTTACCAAATTTGTTTTAGCTGTAAGAAACCCAAAAGCCCACTGCTAGCCTTCATAGCCCTAGACATATGGGGGGCTGATCTTATTTAAAACATTATTTCCTGAGAGGAAAAGCATTCACTACTGTATACAGATTTCATTGGTATAAACCTTTTCCAAATATCTGCTTAGTTAACTATTTACTATACGCTTTGTGCAGTCCCACCATTCCATCGGTACGAGCTACAGTTCAGTAAATGGGACCAAACTACTAAAACTAACAGGCCCAGCTGGCACCGCTCATTGTTTTATGCGAAGAAGCTAGAAAACAACCCCCCCGTAGTACGGCTGCAAACTGCTACCTTGTTTCTACACAAAACAGACCCAAACACGTAAGCTGCAGCGCCTGGGTATGGGTCATCAGTGGAATGAGGGGCAGTGGAATGTGAAGAAACGCTCTCCAGACAGCACTCATCGTTTAAAACAACAAAGAGCAAGCAAGCAGACAGGCGATCTAAACACTTCCTCTATCTTCCATTAATTCAGGCTGAAAACTGAAAAAAATCCCATCGCGCATTGTACTTTTACCACAAGAATCTCCGAGGGTTCTTCATAAATATTTATCTCAGCAAACTATATTTATGCAAAGATAAGGTAGAGAGTTAATTCACTTTGCAAAAAATGCAGAACATGTAATCGAATCCTCAATTAACAGTCCAATCACAGCTTCATTTTCTCACAAGGACACCAGATACCCTTAACTCTGCCCCCTCACATGCTAATTATACAGTCTTTCATTTATGTTATAGGGGGGCAATGGAAGAGGAGGTGTGTGGGCAGAGTCTGGCCTCCATGGGAGGCAGAAAGCTTAAAAGTGTTATATTATCATAATAACGTGTGACAAATTGATTAAACAAAAGCTTTTCTGAAAGTGATCTAACCAGGACTAAAAATATTGTGAAAGACGTATCTAGGAACAAAGGCAGATCTCCCAAAGGGCTAGTTTCTTCTGCACCAGGCTCAGTGGAAACACAGATTCACTCATCGTATAACATACAGCCTGCACCACGCTGATGCCTTTGGAGGAGGGATAATCAGTCAAGGGATATGCTTGAGTTTGTACTTCCTAAAGACAGATTATTATAACAGTGGCTTCCCTAGCAGAGAAATCTGAGGCAATGTATTCAAATGGCCACGACAAGCTGGGTAGTCAAAGACGTGGAAAGGGAAGTAAAAATCTATTCCACGGTGCTATCAGTTGGGGCCTGTATATGCTATTATAACCCTAATATTAATACACTTCCAGTGCTGATGGAACTAAACCGGAAAAAGCCATTCTTATTCTGGAATAAGCATGTCCACATGAGGAGCTATTGTGGAATGTCGATTTCCAAGTGCTTACAAGCCCTTAGGCAATAGGACTTCCCTAATGTGACTGAATGACAGCGAGACCTCTTTCCAGTGACAAAGTTTTGCAAGTTAACAAGTGCGAGAAGCTACTAAAAATATACAAAGCATATCACATCATCCGATAGGGTTGCACATCTGTCACCTTTAGTGACATTGAATAATCCCCAGCTCTCAAAGCTGTCCTATTGATTTCAATGGGACTTCTTGTGGAGCAGACGATTACTTTGTGTGAGGAAGGGCAGCAGAATCCAGCCCCAGATGTTATCTGAAAGTGTGATCAAACTATTTCCCCTTTAGTCTGAAAAAGGCAGACAAGGGCGCCAGGAGAAAAGGCAGTGGAGACCCTTCCCAGGTTAGTTGGGCCTCTTTCCCATGAACATCTGAATGCTAACACTGAAGGCTATGTCCAGGCAAGTTGGAAGTTTTAAAGAAAAGCCATTTCAGATTAAGACCAAAAAAAAAATAGGAGCAACTCTGAAAAGAGGAACATGTATTTCTTTCATCGTCACAGAACTCGAGAACAGCTTGATGTCGTTGGAAAGAAAGGACTTTGTGTCCCCAAAAGGTCACCTTTGGGCTGAGAACAAATATATTAAAAAAAAAACAACCCTCATGTTTTTGAGAGAGTTAAGGCATCTTTGGATAATCATGGTTAACATGTATTGTTAACCTATATCACATTGCTATGGTCTACAGTATGATCACATTTATCTAATATTTGTTAAACCACACTCCCTCTTCTCTGCACCACAACTATATCTCTGGCATGGATCAGTTGCCCAGTCACCCCTTTGATCATCCAAACGGTTTTTGCTGTGCTGTATTCCGATGAACCAGAAACACCAGTACAGTTTAGGAATCAGCTTCCATCAGAGCGGTCAGATAGAAATGATTTTGCAACTAACCTCCCACACCTCCTCCCCCAGCACAGGAGCAGCTCCGTTTTCAGGATAATTGTGGTTCTACCATCAGAGGAGATCTGCAGGTGTCTTTCCTAATTGACAAAGATCTCGAAGTGGCAAAACCAATCTGTATTTTCTACCTGCAGCACAGATTTCGTTGCATGGAATTGGCTTTGGGAAAGACTTGAAGACACTTCAAACATATGGCCCACGCTCAACAAATAATTATCTTTCTGTGTTTATTCAGGCTGGGAAATACTCCTTATCTTCTAAAATTTCATCCTGCTGGCCTGAGCCAAATGGGGATAGTTTCCTTTGCAACTGCTTGAAATGTGTGAGAGCAGCTTTCCCTGCTGCTGTACAATTTAAAATGGAATTAGAATCTTGCAGGGAGGTCTGAAATCCAAATAAGGGATCAGAGCCTTGGCTAATGTAAATCAACCATAGCTCCTAATTTATATCAACTGAGGATCTGGCCCAGTGTTTTAAACTGAAGTCTGCAATGTGACATGCACTCAGCAGAATTTTTACCATTAATTATTATTGTTATTATACATTCATATTGCAGTAGCATGTGCAGGCCAGTGAGACAAAGGGCTCCCAATGCTAGGTGCTGTAAAACATAGAAAATGAAAGGCCCTGCCCCAAAGATCTCATCGTTTAAAAGACAAGACACCAGGTGGGTGGAGCAGAGAAGCTGGTTGGGGTGGGGACTAAGGTAGCAAAAGTAATAGGATCTTAGCCAAGCAGGAGGAGCACAGATATCCATCCATCTGCCCAGTGCCTGCACATATAAGGAGACTGCTGCATATCTGTTGAATTTTGAATCCAAACCAAGACTTTGTTGTAATCAATGTCAGGGCAGTAGAATCCACATTTGTGGTGTGTGTAGGACCAAAATAGTCCTCTTTTGGCCAGACTCTGCCCCTTTGGGTGACCTGTTTGCCTCAGTGTGATACAGAGCGGGTTTAAAACATCATTTGAAACTTGGAAGTATCCAGTGGATCAACATTTTCATGGCCAAGTCAAGATACATCTTAATTTCTCTCATTTTCCCTCCCAAGAATTGGCCAGTGGAGCTGATGGAATGATTTACTGGTAGTTTATCAGAATTTAGAGTGCACAAGTTTCAGAAGCTGTAATTTTGCAAGTTTTAAAACTTAGCTTTGCCTGAAAAAATGTCTATTTTAATGTAATCCAGGCTCAAACAGACATTTTTCATCAGAAGGCTAAAAATATGCAATTGTTGGCCACCTTCGTCTGAATTACAGTACGCTAGATTGTATTTTTAGAACTATATTACTATAATTTTTATTTCAGTAGCACTGAGAGGTCCCAGCCAAAATTGGGAATTCATTTTGCAAGATGCTGAACAAACATGCACTATGAGACAGTCCCTGCCTCGAAGAGCTTGTGAATTAAATAGATAAGACAACCAAACTTGGGGGAGGGATAGCTCAGTGGTTTGAGCATTGGCCTGCTAAACCCAAGGTGATAAGTTCAATCCTTCAGGGGACCACTTAGGATCTGGAGCAAAATCAGTACTTGGTCCTGCTAGTGAAGGCTGTGGGCTGGACTTGATGACCTTTCAAGGTCCCTTCCAGTTCTAGGAGATAGGATATCTCCATTAATTTAATTTAAAAAATTGTTAATAGATTCTAGGACTGGAAGGGACCTTGAAAGGTCATCAAGTCCAGCCCACAGCCTTCACTAGCAGGACCAAGTACTGATTTTGCTCCAGATCCTAAGTGGTCCCCTGAAGGATTGAACTTATCACCTTGGGTTTAGCAGGCCAATGCTCAAACCACTGAGCTATCCCTCCCC